TTGAATGTAACAGTACACACACACACACACACGGAAGGATCAAAATATCAAAAATCAATCAGTGTAAGTCACTGAGGAGGAAAAAGCCCTTTCTATAATTATGTCAGTTGATGCAGAAAAAGCATTTGGCAAAATCCAATCTCTCTATTCCTGATTAAAAAGTCTCGCCAACTAGGAATAGAAGGGAAATTTCTAAACTCTAGAAAGAACATCTGCAAAAGGTAAATGTCTACAAAAAGCTGATAGAACTAACAAGTCAGTTCAACAAGCTTGCAGGGTATGAGGTAAATATATGAAAGTCTATGGCTGGCAACAATTGGAAATTGGAATAAAAATATGCCGCTTACCATAAGAGCAACAATATTAAACACTTAGGAATAAATCTGACAAAAGATGTGCAATATCTTACACTGAGATCTATAAAATGTTGCTGAGAACATTCATTGTTTTTTCCACAAATTGATTTACAGATTGCAGTCTCAACCAAAACCCCAGCAGGTTTTGTTGTTGTTGTTGTTGTTTTGTAGAAATTTACAAGTAGATTCTAAAACTCTTAAGGAGACTTAAAGGACCTAGAATAGCCAAAACAATATATTTTTTTTAAAAGATCAACAAAGGTGGCACACTAACATTACCTGATTTTAGGACTTGTAAACCTATACTTAGAAGACAGTCTGGTATTGCCAGAAAACCAAACAAATAGATCAGGAATTCAGCCATTCCAATCTTAGGTGTTTACCCAAAAGAAATGGAAGCATGTTCCATACAAAGAGTTTTATATGGATATTTTAAGCAGCTTTGTTTATAATAGCCCCATACTGAAAACAACCCAAATTTCCATCAACAGGTGAATGGATAAACAAACTGTGGTACTGCGATATAACAAAATGCTACTCAGCAATAAAAAAAAGAAATGAGCTATTAATAAATCCAACAATGTGGCTGAATCTCAAAATAGTTATGTTGAATGAAAGAAACTAAAAAAGTAGAAGACTTCTTAACAGCACACTCTCTTGGGTTTTCCCCCCTTCTCATTGGTTTCTCCATTTCAGTTTCCTTTGCTGGCCCCAGTGCTTCTCCCAGACCTTGCTTGCTAGGGGGCCTCTGGCCTTGGTCTTCAGCCTTCTTTTCCTCTCTGTTTACACTTTGCTCCAAGCTTATCTCATCGAGCCTTGTGATTCAAAGCGTTGCCACCTGCACAGTCCAATAGAATTTTCTGAAATGAGGGAAATATTCTATGGCCCCATGTCTACTGGGGTGGCCACTAGCCACGTGTGGCTACTGACTATTTGAAATGTGACTAGTATGAGTAAGGAGTTGAATTTTAAATTGTATTTATTTTAATTAATTTACATTTAAATAGTCACACTATATCATTTATATTATAGAATATAGAAATATATATTACATATATGTGGTTGGGGGCTACTGCACCTCTTAGCCTTGGTCTAGATCACTGTATTTACAAACTATGGGTGGTAACCCATGAGCTGACCTTGACCTTTAGTTTTTTTCAAAGTAAAATATCAAGGGATACCGTATATAGTAAGAGTTATATTTTTTTTCAAGAAACTTTTGTTTCTGTCTTTTCTCTCTGTGGACTAGGTTGCTGTAACTATGTATAGATCGCACGTAGTTTTTTAGGAGTTTTGTTTTTTAGTGGAAAGCCGCTGATTTAGGCACTAGAGATGCCTAGGTTTATGACCTCAGCCATGAGCTAAGGCGCCAAGTCATGTTCAGTTGTCTACCCGAGATCTCCCCGGTTTGTAAACCTGTTTTGTCTCCCCCTCTGGTTTTTCCTCATCTCAGCATAATGGGACCTGAATCCCCCTTTTCCCTGTCCCCTCTTCCCGTTTTCCTGGAGGCCTCCATTCAGTCTAGCAACACAGTCTAGTGGCTCTGCCCCTGAAACAGATCCCACTTAATTTCCATTTTGATTTCCCTCACCTTTAAGGCCGGGCATCCCTTGCCCGGATCCCTGCCACAGCCCCAAACTGGCCGCTCTTTCATTCTTGTCTTTATACAACCCATTCTCCACATGGCAGTCAAAGGGGGCTTTGGAAAAGCCAAAATCAGATGATGTTGCTTCCCTCCTTGAAACCCTCTGGGGGCTTTCCATTGCCTTAAGAATACTCTCTCCGCGGCCACATTTCTGTGGCCAGCAAGGCCCTGGAAGCTGACCCTGGCACCCCCAGCATGGCTCCCGCCCCACTCGTATTGGCCTTTCTGTGCCAGGGACACCCACTTCCTTGCTCGTTTCTCTGCAGGGCCTTTGCACATGTGCTGTGACCCAGACCCCCAGACTTTCTCCGAGCTGGCCTCTCTTTGTTAATACAGGTCTCACATCAGATGTCTTTTTCTCAAAGGGGCAGCCTTTCTCTGACTCAGCTGGTGTCCGCAACCCAAGGCTGAGTGATCTGTTTTGGAATAAATGAGCTATATTGTTATTTACATAGAGAATTTTTGAGTAATAGGAAAAAGAGCCATCAAAGTATTTTTGATTAGAGATTCTTGAATCTTCTTTGAGAATCATCTGTAATCATTAAAATCCTTCTGTGCAAGTTTCTATATGGGGAATAAGTATTGGTCTTGCTATTTTTTTTAAGTTAGCGGAGTACCTCATTATGCAAATTTAATGAACACTTTAAAATATGTGTAATGCAGTATATTAACTTATAGACACAAATTAGTTAATGTAAAATTTCAGGAGTTTCATTGATGTTAATTTATTATAAATACAAGTTATTTATTGAACTTTTTAGTCACTGAGATTAATGCACATCATGATTGATTTTTTGAGATAATTTGAATTTAAATTACCAAACTACTTTTGTCTTGAAGAAGAAAGGTCTGTAGTTTAGAGTATATTATTCCTTATGATGTTTAATCTTTATTTTTATAATGATCTTTATGAAAAATATAGAAATAGTGCAGAAGGATTACTAGTTATTAACTAAGTGATAGGATTTATGATTCTGACCTTTGCTTAAAAAAAAAAAAGGAGATCTACACTCAAATACTGGAACTTTCTACAGGAGTCAGTAGGTTCAGTAATAGGTTCCAAAACAATGAAACTGAAACTATATGTTTCACATTATATTGTCAAAACCGCATAGCAAGAGGTATAGAAATAGGAAATGCATTTAACTTTACAAAATGAAAACTGAGTATAAGTGTGAGAATTTGGCATTTTATTTTATCCTAGAAAATTCTTTAAATTAGATAAAATAGTGTTCAGAAAGTTAAAACAGGGCCTCATTTTATTTCATATATGTGTTCCATTCTGCCCAAGGTCAGAAATGGTGGTGATGAAAATGTTTTTGTCCTCTGACGCCTTTCTGGATATGCTCTCCAAAGAGAATAATCAAAATTGCAGATTTATGCACAGAGATGTTAATTGGGGCATCGTTTCTAATTCTGAAAAGTCCGGAACCAACCACATACCCAATAAGGGAGGAGTTAAGCAGATTGTAGAATATCTGTATAATAAAGGATCGTATAACCATTGAAGTTAATTTTTAGGAAGGCTATTTAGGGTTGTGGGAAAAAGCTTCTGACATAATGCTAAGTTAAAGAAAAGGACATATTTATTCAGCGTGATCTTAATTAGGTAAAAAACCATTTTCATAGTAGAAAATACGTTAGTGGTTCCTTCTGAGGGGTCATTGTTGCTGGCATTTTCTAAGTTGTCTAGAAAAAGCGTATATTACTTTGTAATAGCAAAAACATTACAGAGAAATTTGGGTGGCTAACAAAATACTAAATGTTTCAGCTTATTGTGTTTTAGAGCTGGAGAGTAGTTGTGGGGGTCACTTGGCTCGTGACCAAGGGCTGTGACGGGCAGGGAAGATTGAGAGTGGTTTCTCAGAAGGCCAAATGGAGAGGAAGATGTCTCAGTGTTTTTGCTCTCGGTAAATTCCTGACATACCCACTGATGCCACTTGCTGATGAGAGTCTGGCTGTCTACTTTGTGACAAATATAAAAGAGGAAGACAAAGTAATTATTATCTAATAAATGTGACTGTTTAGGTAGCCAGTATTTTAAAACAGAAGGCAACAACGAAAGATTCCTAACTGGTATAACGTGGGGACTATTCTAGATTGTTCTTTAGTCTTTGGTGTTCATCTGTGACTAGGATGTGAAATCATTTTAGTGGATCTCCCTCTGCGTTACCCTTTAAATGAAATTAGAATAGAAAATAGAGGGTGTATTCTATATATTAAGTGTTCATTCTTTAGATTTTTATTTCAGGTATGTGTTTGAATGTACTGAATGGTAAATGTAAAATGTGGCTGGCTTTTTTAGAAAACTGATTTGCCGTCAATAAAGTCAAAAGACCCTTTTGAGGTCTAGATCAGTGGTTCTCAGAATGATCCTGGAGCCAGCAGCAGGTGTCACCTGGGACCTGGTCAGCGGGGCACATTCTCAGGCCCCGCCGCAGAACTTCTGAATCAGAAATTCTTGGGCCCAGCAGTCTGTGGTTTCCTAAGTCCCCCTGGTGATTCTGATGAGGACTTACATTTGAGAACCACTGGTCAAGCCTTGCTGTTCCAGGCATGGTCCAGAGACTAACACGGGCATCACCTCGTGGCCAGTTAGAAATGCAGAATTTCTGGCCCCAACCTGGGCCCTACTGAATCAGAATCCCCAAGCTCCCTGGGTGACGTGTATGCTCATATAAAAGGTTTACTGAGGGTTGAGAAGGCTGATCTAAAGCACATGTGCCTTCAGAGGCCATATAGTTAATGTCACTGAGTGAAGGCAGCCTATGTTTCTCCCCCAAAGAGAGCAGCAGTGAGAAGGATTGATTGTGATGTGGGGTTTAAGCACCCTTCATTTGTTTAAAAATGTCCTCTGTTGAAGCCACTGGGGTTGACACCTCCAACCAAACTCATCAACTCAAGATAACTGTAATTGACCTTACTAACTTCAAGCAGATTTTAATCTCCAACTTTAGTAGAGTGAGCCTGTCATATTAACTTCTTCTGATCTCTTCTAGGAATTTATCCAGGAGCTGCTCTCTCGGATAAGAGGCATGAGGAAACTGAGCCCTCCGCAGAAGAAGACTGTATAATTCTGGCACAGGATGGAACTCTCCCAGAGACGAAGAAGGGTCCTGGGATTTGGGCTTCATGAAGACATTTATTAAAGCATACTTGCCCTTATGAGAAACTTTTTTTTGGGGGGGGTTGTCTATTAGACATTTATTCAAGAGTGTTCCTTTTTTGTTTTGGGAGTTTTTGTTAGTGTAATATTTTAAGAGCAAGAACATCACGACTCTGGTTTCAGCCCAACCAGGGGTTATCAAACCAGGCAGACATGCAGGAATGGGCTGATCCGGGCAGCATTTTCTTTGAGAAATTGCAGGTTTAGGACCTAACTATACAGGGATGATGGTTTTCTTACAACTAGTTTGGTAATACTTTTTCTTAAGTTGTACGATTGTCTCAGATGTCGAATTTCTCGTACATATATATATCTACACACAACCAAGTTAAAATGTAGATGTGAGTTTTATTTCACATTGATGGAATAAACTTGTGGTTGTCCTTTAATTGGAGGTCACAGCACATGGGTTTTCAAGAGGTCACTAGATATTCTTCATGTCATGTGACTGCTGCTGACCTTCAGCGTTCACTTTATGCACCAAAGTGAAAGAATTTAGTGTATCCGTTATTTTAATGAGCTACGCCACAAAAAGTTGAGTTGGTCAAGGGCTTAATTCATGGACTTTATATTATTTCATTAATTGGGATGCTTTGCCAGGTCATGTATTTTTTGCCTCGTTCGTGGTATTTTAAAGTTTTATGAACCCTTCATTTGAAGAACTGTTTAGATTTCTAGAGAAATGCCCATGCCAAGTGGTGTTTTGCAATGGAAAAAGGAAGCACTGTGTAGCAATTAACTCTCTGCTTTCAACCAAATACTGTGTATTCTTCTCTCTCCATGAAAGCAGGTCAGAAGGAAGTTAGCAAATCACGTATCTTCCTCCTTAGATGTAGATCTGGTCACTTCCGTGCCTGGGCAGCATTAGACCAGAGCGGGTGAACTGAGGGTTGAAGACTGTAGAGGTGAGAAAGGCTCACCTGCTTTCAAGAAAGTTGATACAGGAGCACTGGCCGCTTTGGAACGGTGGTGGAGATTGCATTTCTGGCTCCTCTCTATGGCATGTGCTGAGGATTCTGGCTCTTGGCCCCAATTACGCACCCTGGTGTCCTTGCTTGGAGCTAGGCGTGGGGCGCCTGCCCCGCGCCTCCCGGTGATATATCAGCTCCTTGGAGAACGATCAAAATTCAGACGGCTGTGGGCTGGGTGAAAGGTCAGAGTAGAAACTCTTCCTTTCCCCAAGGAGGCCTCCACCGCCTCCCCACAGAAACCCCACCTACTGTAAGGCGTCTCTAGGCGGCCCTGTCAGAGGACAGGAGTCAGACATTTTATATCAAGGGTGCTCTGAACATATTTTATTTTTTAAAAGAACTATGTTTGTGAATTTTATGTATACTGGCAAGCTTTTGAAAATGTATTTAATTTTGTAATGTTTACCAATGATTTATTTACAAGCTATACTCAAATAAATGGAGCTGCTTACAACTCTGCTCACACCTTTGCACTGCAAGACATGTTCAAAGGACAACTTTACTTTGTGAGATGTTCCACAGACAGGGGTACCAATCTCTTATATCTAGCTTTTCATTTCCCAGGTATTTTCAGGCGTTTGATCCTGGTTCTGTCCTGATGAGAGCAGAGTTGCTGGGACACATCCCTGGGTTGGGAAGGAAACCGAGAATGAGCTCTGTGTATTTGGTCCTGCCTGGCCATGTGCTCTTGGGCCTCTCTCTGGCCATGTGCTTTGCATTTAGTTAAAACTCCCTTTTACCCATCTGATAGAAATTCTCAAGAAAATTTCAAATTAATCAGATATTCCAATTATGCGAGAATGCCATGCACCCTATAAACACATAAAAAATACTGAATTTGTAGGATTTCCATTAGGCCTGACCAGCTCAGGTTATGGGCTGATGAAGCAAGAGGCCCTTTGATCCGGCCACATAACACACCCTCTTCCTTCCCTCACCAAGGGCCTGGCATCACCTGACTCCCCTGAGTGGGATCTCCTCCTTGATTCCCCATCTCTACCCTCAACACACCCTCAATCACCAGGCTCTGTTTCCTCTGCTAATACATCTCATATCTCTCCCTTGTTAAATCTTGCCTTGATTTCTGCAGCCATCTTGGGACTGGCTTCCCCATGTCCGGTCTTACCTACTACCTCTGATCTGTTCTCCACCCAGTAGCTGGAATGATCTCTCTGAAAGACAGCTGAGATCACTCCATCCCCTACTCAAAACCCAAACTCCTTACAAGGAATTAGGCCCTGCTTTTCCCGCCTCATCTTTTGGCCTTCCCCTAACATCCAGTCCTACTGAATAACTAGGGTTTCTGGAACATAGATATTTTCTCCTCTGAGGCTTTGCAAAAACTGTTGCCTCAGCCTGGAATACCCTCACCATGCACAGGCTCTATCTGGAAAGCTGGTCTACAGCCCTTCCTAAGTATGTCCAGAGCTTCTAGCATTTACCCCATCACAGCATGTACCCGCCATATTATTACTGTCTATTCCCCTGTTTGTCTCTTCTTTTAGACTCTAAGATACTCGAGATTGGGACCGAGTCCTATAAATCAGGCACCTACTCCTGAGCCTGGCCCATCAAAGGAATCAATACATGTTTGCCAACTGAATAAATATGATAAGGATTCTTCAGGAAAACTCAACTGTTTCCTTTCTGGTGGGGATAGTGGTTCTTAGGCCTGAAGGTGCATTTGTATCACCTAGGAAGCTTTAAACACAAGTCCTGGCCAATTTAATCAGAATTTGGAGGAGCAGACCTTAGGCATTTTTTTTCACGCTCCCAGACTGAGCACCAACTGGGCCATTGGATCATTCTCGCGGAGCCTGGCACACAAGTCTGACCTCACTGACCTCAGCTCACCATGTGGATGCTGTCAGAGCAGGTGGAAGCTGTGGCATTAACACATTGACTCTTTGGCATTTTCTCTTCTGCTGGAGAGGAGTTACGGTCCAGCACTAGGGGAATGACTCCAAAGTACCTAACTTCTAGTTCGGTGCTCCACGTGAGCATTGAGACATCTAAGTTTAAACTTGATCCATTTATAACAACTGTAATAATAGTCCCCACTTAGGTATCACTGGGCTGAGTGCTTACCTGCCTGATCTCATTTAATCCTGACATGAATCTTAGGAGGTAGATTGCATTATCCTCATTGTATAGAAGAGAAAATAAACTCAGATGCGGTCCCAGAGCTGATATTCAAACCCAGTGCTGCTGTCTGACTCTAAGCCCCTTGACCATTAGGTTTTCCTGCCCCTCAGAAGGGGTTGCTCTCAGTTCCCCCCACAGGAATGAAAGCCAGGAGCTGCTTCGAAAGTGAGCTGAGCCCCTGAGCTGAGAGGTGGGGCGCAGGAGGCTCTGTGGTTGGAGCGGGTCCTCGGCTCCCTATGGGTTCTCCCTCACTCCTGATAACAGGGGATCCCAGGCTTTGTGCTCCTGCCCCCCCCCCCGCCCCCCCACCCGCATTTCCAGGCTCTTCTTGCCTTCTCCCCTGACGAAAAGCTCCTGGACTTGGCCTCGGAGCCTCAGCATGGAGTACCTCCCATCAGTTTCCAGAGGAGGCAAAACTGGGAGTAAGAACAGCTCAAGGAAGGTGTTTCTCAATTCCTGTAACACAGAGATACCTAATTTTCATTTACTACCTAAAATCCCCATAAAAAATGGTGTGCGGTGCGGAATCAGTTATCAACAATAGATGCGTACATGATTATGTTGGCTCTTTCCAAGAAGACACAGTGGTTTGGGAACATGAGCTGTTTGGGAGCCCTGGCTACCATGTCCTCAAGGGACACTGACCGAAGGAGCCACTGCCGAGAGCAGCCAGTCTGGCCCAGGCACTTGGCCCACCGCTCGGAGAAGCAGGTGGGATAACATCTGGGAGATGTGCCCTTCCTGCCTCACGGTGCAGGCAAGGCTGCCAGAGGGGGCCAGAAATGTGCTCCATGGCTTCGTTCTGTGGTGGGCCCTGCTGCCGCCCAGCCTGCTGGGATCTGCCACTTTCGGCTAGTCTTCCGGTATTGCTCAGCCGGACTCCCGGGCCCTGAGCCAGCCTTTCATGTGACTAACAGCTTGGAGAAAGGGAGGTCCCACAGCTGACGGACACATCTCTGTCCTCACATCATTTTTGCTTCTGAGTCAAAGATCCTAGGGATTCCATCCACTTCTCAGGAACCTTCTCTGCAAGAGGGAGAGCCTCCTCCCAACCCCACTGTCTCCTCCTTTCCCCCTGTCTTTGGTCACTAGACTCAAGGCCCTCTAATGGCACAAAGGGCCTAAAAAGGCCTGGTAGGAAGTACTTTGGGGTGGGGGGACCCCTGGTCTGTGGTCTAAAAAAACCAAAAGAATTCAATGTATTCAGTAACTGGAGCTTTGTGAAAAGCCAGTTTCAAACTGGACACAGACAGGAATACCAGTAGTCTCTCCCATTGCTTTCCTCTTCTGGAATTTGCTTTAAGCCTAAAGAGTTTTTACTAAGAACTAGTGCTATTTCCCTTTGGGATTCAGGATATCCCTTACCGTGTGTTTGTAATCTGCCTGTGAAAAATTGGGTGGCTTCTCATAGTCCTCTCTGAGTGAGACCTATCCAGACTTCACGGGGTTTCCTTCCACCCTTTTTGGACGCAAGTGCCGCAAATGTTTCACTTATGCCATCGTGGTATATCTTGGCTGGGGATGAGTTGTTTTTATAAGACTGGATAATTCACCACTTCTCTTGGCTCCGTGGGTGTTCCCACTACAACAGGGCAGACGAGCATTTCAAGAGAATACTGATATTAAAGCAACTACCAATCAGATCCTAGAAATCTGTTTTTCTAGTGCTTTCATTGGATCCAGTGGAGAAAGAAGCCCAGATTTCTCTGGGACAGCTTTCCTTCATCTTCAGGATTTTCAAGTGACTCCGCAGGATGGCCTTCTTGGGGCTGACCTTGTTCTGGTAGATTCTAGAGCCCTAGCAAGCATATGAGGGTAAAGAAAATTGCGCTTTTAACGTCATGGCCATGTAGACTTGATCTCATTTATATACATATTTTTAATTCAGTGTGGTTGTTGTTGGGAGACAATTCTACACAGATCTCTCATGTTTCTGCTGGCTTTAATTAATGTCAGTATTGGAAGATGGAAATACATTTCTCCCTCTAGGGCAGAGAGCAGGCAGGGCCTGAATAATATGGGTAGCACATTATTGCTTGTTGTTTTGAAGTTCCCAAATTCAACTCCAACAGCAGGTCTGTGACCATCATTTCTCTGTGTATACCAGTCTGCCCAGTCATTTCTGAAACCAAAAATAGAAAATGAGTTCATGGAATATCTGGTGCTACCAGATTGGTTTCTGTCAGTTTGCGGGATGATTCATAGAAAGTGTAACCCAACACACCCTTCTGGGTCACAAGTCGCTTGAGCCTAAGTGATTTACTATTTGGTTTTTTTATTGTTAGTAGCAGGAAATGCTCCCTTGCAGCTGATTGTATTCATAAAACGGGACATTACTGACAAACCCCTTTTCTGACGACTCATGGATAAGGAGATAAATAAGATAATTTATCTTTAAGAAATATTTTATAGCACTTAGCACAGAGCCTGACTCTTTTTAGCTATAATCCCAATGGGGCGGGGCGGAGGGGGGGGGCAAAATGTACAATCTGTAGTGTAGGCCTGCCTCACTTTAACAGAATGCCCCAAAGCCCTAGAGACCTCCCTCTTTCTGAAATTAGTGATGAGTTAGAAGTTGAACAAAACCTCCTAAACTGTTTGGGGTAAAAAAATGCATAGTAGTTTTGTTTTGTTTTGTTTTGTTTCCTTCTGAATCTTATTTTCTGTTGCAAACAAGTGTGCTGAGAACTCCCTGCCAATATCTTTAAGCTAAGTGATCCTACAGCTACAGTTCATGTAGACTTCGGGGGTCCTCAAAACTTCTGAAACTTTGTGAGAGAGAGAGAGAGAGAGAACAGACAGAGACAGCACCACACACACAGCAGCAGAGAGAGCCCCAGAAAGAAGGACACAAAGT